GACCGGGTTGGCCAACCAGAATCAGCTCATGCAGCCAGATTTTCCCAGCGCCTCCTGGCGCCAAGAAGCGCCAATGTGTCGAAGAAGGCTCTGGGCGGCGGGGCTGAAACAAGCTGCACGATTCGTCCCCCCCCCTCCTCCTATCCCCCGCGGGCGCTGGGGCCCGTCGATAGCGATCCGGAACGCTCTGGGAGCGCTCTGGAACGTTCTGGAGCGATGTAGCCTTCCTGAGGGCGCCAACTATCAGAAGATGGTAGCCAGCGTGGACCCCAAGCAGTGAGTTCTAGAATGCTCTGTGGTGCAATGGTCGTGGCGTGATCCAGTTCAAGCAGCCGATGCGGTGCAACCTATGTGCGCGAAGCAAGGCCAAGCGAAGCCAAGCCATGCAGAGCCATGCCAAGCCATGCACGACACTGCGAGGCAGTGCGAAGCAGTACAGAGCCGGCGGCGACGGCGGCCACATGGCGGCCAGAGCGGCCTGCAGGCCCAGGCGACGGGCGGCGACTTTGTGGCGACGGGCGGCGGCGAGGCGGCGACGGCGGCCACATGGCGGCCAGAGCGGCCCGCAGGCCCTATGCCGTAGAACAGAAGTTGGGCCCCGTGAGTGCAAGCACAGCTTGGAGAACCAGAATAGATGTTTGACTGCCCCCCCCTGCGTTACCATGTTACCATGTCACGGACAGAACGTCATACAGCTATAGATGTGTATACACGTATCTGTGGATCTGTGCACACGTAAGCAGCGCAAAGCGAAGCACAGCAAGCAACGCAAAGCAATGCGTGACAATGCAAAACAACACAGGGCAATACCAAGTGCGGCAAGGCAATACAAACATCTGCAGAGCAGTGCGAGCGCCGCTTGCCAATGCAAAAAGCGGTCCAGCGCGATGCAAGCCGACACGACGAGCACACAGCGACGCAGCACGACGCAAGACAATCCAGCGCAACGCACAGCAATGCAGTCCATGCAAAGCACGGCATGGCACGTGCAGGCCATGCCACACCATGACAAAACAATGCACGGCAGTGCAAACCATGGAATGGTACGGCACAGCAGCGCAACAAAAAGCAACACGAGGCGATGCCGGCCCCGACGGCGGGCGGCAACACGAGGCGGCGACGGGGCGGCAACGGGGCGGCCACGGCGGCGACATTGGCCGCCGGACCGATCTCCCCACGCCGAGCTGCACTCTTCCAGGAGTACAGTCGGGGCGTTGACCTCAGGAACCCTAAATGAGGAGCGAGGCCCCTTCTCTCCACACACTGAACTTCGATTCCCCATGGGAAACCTGAGAACAACCCAAGGCACACTGCGAAACAACTCAGGAACACGGAGCCCCTCCCAAACGAAAAGGGTTCCTTTTTCAGCGCCCCGACTGTCAGAACCCCTTACGTGCAGGCACTGTCAGGGACGCCGAAGAAGCAGAGCGGGTCCCGTGCGGCAGCGAACGCCCGACGCAGGGAGTTTTGTTCGCACCGCTCGCGATGGGGGGCCACGCTGGGGGGCCAGGACGTTGGCTGCGCGCAGATGGGGGGGGGGGAGAGGGGAGGGGGGAGGGCCTCTTGGAAGGAGGCCGCCTCTTCGAAGGCGCAGGCCCTACACAGACGAGGCTCGCGCCCTCAAAAAAGCAGCCCCCCCTCGAGCGAAGAGGCCTTCCCCCCTCCCCCCGAGATTCCGGGCGACCCAAAAGGGGGTCAAGCTGCAAGGGGGTGGTGCAATAGATTTGGGGCAATTGTATTGCAAACGTATTGCGCTGGAGACTTGTATTGCATTGTACTGCAACCCCACAAACCTGCTGCACCCCCACATGTATTGCAACCCCACAAGTCTATTGCACCAAATCTGTTGCACCACCCCCTTATCGCTGGACCCCCTTTTTGGGGTCAACCCGAGAGATACCCCCCCCCCTCTGCGCGCAGCCGAGGAGGGCAGGCCACGACGGGGGGGGCACCGCGGGGGAGCCTGGAGGGCCTCGACATAAACAGCGGGGCCACGGGGCCCGCGGGGGGAGGGGGGGGGAGGGGGCACGACGCCCGGGGAGCCACGAGGAGAAGCCACGAGAGGAGGGGGGCACGATTGAAGGGGCCCCAGGACACACAAATAAATATACACAAATAAAAAGATTCCCCATATTTTCCTACATTTTCTGGGTTTCTGTCTTCCCCCCCACTTCCCACATTTTCCCATATCTTCTGGGGGATCGAGGATTCATTGTGTCTGTGTGTTTCTTCCCCTCCTGAACGATGGGCCACCGATCTAAGACGCAGCCGGGACGAAGACACCAGAAACTCGGGCGAGGACAGGTCGGGAATCTCTGAGGGCCCGCTGCTCTGGAGGATGCAGCGGGCATCGCGGCCTTCTCGGAGCGATCCTGATCGCTCCGAAAGCGTTCGTCGTCGTCTTCGTCACTGTTGTCCTCGTCGTCGTCCTCCCCCTCCTCCTCCACTTTCTTTCTGGCTCCTCGTAAACTCCTCCTGAAAGACGAAAGCGGGGGCCTCCTGTCCTTCGCAGCTCCTTTGTGCAAGAGCCAGGGCACGCGTGCCACTTGTTTTTGTCGTGGTTCGTCGTTCGTGGTGGTTCGCCCCCCTCGGCCCCTCCCCTGAGCCTGAGCCCCAGCTCCCCTGGGCCACCCACCCTTCGGAGGCTTGCTCCGTCCAGGCTTCCCAGGACAGCCCCCCTGGGCCGCGGACATCCCCATTTTCGTCGTGGTTCGTGGTTCGTCGTGGTTCGTCCACCTCGGCCCCTCCCCTGAGCCTGAGCCCCAGCTCCCCTGGGCCACCCCCCCTCCGTCCAGGCTTCCCAGGGCAGCCCCCCTGGGCAGGGCCTTCAGTCCTTCGCAGCTCCTTTGCGCAAGAGCCAGGGCGCGCGTGCCACTTGTTATCGTCCTCGCCCCGTCCAACGTTTTCGGGAGCCCAGCATCCCTCCCCGGGCGCCCGAAGAATTGTAAGACCCTTGCAGATAAGCTGTCTCGGAGAACAGTAGCGAAAAAAACCTCAGATGTCTGCGCGGATTGTTTGGGTCGGCGCTGAACGCCCCTCCCCACACCCGTTCCCAAGCGCGCGGAGCGCGCCAGGGAGGGGGGGGTTCACGCCGACCCAAGGACTATGCCCAGACCTCCGAAAGCCTACATCCGAAATCTCTGGTAAGGACGGGCGGTAAGGACGCAAGGGCCTTGGGCGCCACGGGCTTGGAGGCCTGGAACTAGGCACCAACACCAACACAAGGGTTTGCCTCCACAGAGTGAAGATGATCCTAGACTTCGGTGTTGGTGGTGGCCAACCGCGAGATGCGGTTCTTAAAACAGAAGGCCGATGTGTTAAAACAAAACAGACTCGGCCAGAAATGTTCTCGTGCAAACCACAAAAGATTCTTAGAACATTGTTTTGTGGGCCTGTAGTTGGCGGCGCGCACAAGGGGATGGAGGGAGGGGGGAGGGCTTCTTAGAAGGAGGCTGCTTCTGAGAAGGCGCCGGCCTTACGTCTATAGATAAGGCCCGCGTCCTCTGAGAAGCAGGGGTGCTTCTAAGAAGCCCTCCCCCCTCCCCCCACCCCCCCTTGCGCGTGGCTGATGTAGGCGAGCCAGGACGCTTCGCCACTGCTTGAAGAGGCAATGACGCAGGAGCACCCTTAGGACACCAGCGCGAAGGCTTCGGCGCGGGCCGCCCGGCGCGGCACGCGGCGCGGGCCTCTGCGCAACGCCCTCGCTCGCGCGGGCACCGCACGCTCGGCCTCCCTCGCGCGCACGGCATGCTCTCTCTCTCCCTCCTCCCTCCTCCGCCGCCGGCCTGGCCTCCTCCTCCTCCTCCTCCTCCTCCTCCTCCTCCTCCTCCTCCTGCTCCTCCTGCTCCTCGTTTCCTCGCTCCTCCATTTCCCTCCTCCTCATTTCCTCGTTCCTCGCTCCTCCTCCTCCTTTCCTCGCTTCCTCCCTCCGCTCCTTTCCTCGCTCCTCCTCCTCCTTTTTCTTTCCTCGCTCCTCCCTGTCGCACCCCCAGACGTGTCCGTAGAGCATGGCGTTTCGCCTGAGACTTCGTCACTACGCATGAACCTGATGTTTGACATGTGCCACCCTTTCACGGATGGAGGGCGGGGCATTTTCAAAGTGTGGCGCTCGCCGCCCACATTCGTCTTAAAAGGTAGCGAGGTATTCACACATGGAGGGCGGGCCGTTTCAACCTGTGTCCTTCGCCGTAGCGCCGCGAACACTCGTTTTGAAATGTGCAACAGTTTCAAGCATGGAGGGTGGCTCCTTTTCAAACTGTGGCCCTTGTCTTAACGCCGCGAATGCTCGCTTTGAAAATGTACAACCCACCTTAGCACCGCGCGCATCTGTTTGAGTGTGCTCAACCACTTAAAATATTCGTATGGTTGAAATCCCTAGAATTACGTTCTCACGCGATTCCAGGCTGTCAGGGCACAGCAGTCACGATGATCTGCGGCAATGAAATGCTAGGAATGGTGTGTTGGCACGATTTAGGAGTTGTCAGGACGCGTCAGTCAGGATCATTCGCTGCGCCTACTCCACAGGAATAGCTTGCCGGCGCGATTTGAGATTCTCAGACACTTGTCTTCCAACGGGCCACGTCCCACCATAAGAAACAAATTCCTGTAGGGACCGATGAAGCGAGAACTTGGCGGGAGGGTTCGATGCAACCTCGTTGGTGCGTCGTGTTTTTTCCTCACTGGTTCTAAAAACTCCTCCTCCTCCTCTTCCTCCTCCCCCCCTCCTCTCTCCTCGCTCGTCCTACCCCCTTTCTCGAACATCCTCTCTCTCGCCGTTCTCGCCGTCGCTCCTGGCACTTCTGCTCCTCCTCCTCCTCCTGCTTCGTTCTTTACCATACCTCCCCCCTCCTCCTCATCTCCTCCTCTTCTGTCAATTCGTATCCCCCTCCTCCCTCCGGAGGAGGAGGAGGGGGAGGGGGAGGGGGAGGAGGAGGAGGGGGAGGAGGAGAGGAGGAGGAGGCTCCTCCCTCCCTCCTCTGTCCACCCTCCTCCGTCCAACCCTATCCGTCCTCCTGCTCCCTCATGCCCTGGCCAGGCCCTGGGCGACGGGGCTCGCGGCGTCAGTTCCTCTTCCTCCTCCTCCTCCTCCTCCTCCTCCTCCTCCTCCTCCTCCTCCTCCTCCTCCCTCACTGTTCCTCCACATCCTTCCGACCTCAGCCGTCCTCCCTGCTGGGAGGAGGGAGGACGAGAAGGAGGTGGTGAACGGAGGCCCCTCCCTCGTCCTCCTCCTCCTCCGCCCTCCATCCTCCTCCTCTCCTCCTACTCCTCCTCCTCCTCCTCCTCCTCCTCCTCCTCCTCCTCCCTCCTCGTACTCGTCGCGAGTGCCCCGCTCGGCGCGGGCGCGCGCGGCGGAGAGAAAGCCTCCCCAGGGGCACAATGCCCGTCTGCGGCAGCGGCTGCGGGGCCGCGGCCGACGGCTGCTGGAGGTAGCCGTAGGAGCCTGGGCGGGCCCCCCAGGATGCGGGCAAGGTTCGTATCCATATCCAGTGCGTCTTGGATTTTTCGGGAACGAGCGTCACAAGGCCGAGCCGCACTGGATATGGATGAACATCGAGCCTCCAGGGGGCAAATTCATCCGTATCCAGCGCGCCTCTGGCTTCTGGGGAAGGGGACCCGAAACTCCATCTCGCAGTGGACATGCACAGAAGTATTGCCCACACAGGGGCTACGGCAAATTCGTGTCGTGACGACCCCGGCGTTGGTTTTTGACACCGCGCGGATCGTTCAACCTTGCACGATCGGCGGCTCTTCGATCGCCCGATCGTTCCATACAGGCCGATTCCGGGCCACTGGCGGCGTTCCACCTTGAACGCCCGCGGCGGGGTCGCCGATGGTCGACACGACGCAAACCTACCGTAAGGCTGTTGCGTGATAACACAGCGACCTTCGGGTCGGGCGAAAGGGGGGAATAGCAAAGGGTGGGTTTGAGAATCAGCTCACGTAGCTGATTTCCCCGGCGCCTCCCGACGCCGGGAGGCGCCCATGCATCGAGGACTGGGCCCCTCGGTCGAGACCGAAACCAGCTGCATGCAGCATATTTCGTAACCCCCCCTTTCCCCAAACCCCCCCCCTTTCGCCCGACCCGAGACACAAAGAGGTCCCAATGCGTGATAACACGGCGACCTGCCGCCGCGGCCTACGGCAGGCCGCCCGCGCGGCACCCCCATGATAATTACGGCCCCGGGGCGCTCACGCGCGAGTCTCCGCACGGCCGAGACCTGCTTCCACGCGTCGCCCAGAGGCCCCCGCCTGCTGGGGCCCCGCCCAGAGAGCCCAGGACCCCATACAGACAGTCGGGGCGTTGACCCAAGGAGCCCTAATTATGAGGCACGAGGCCCCTCTTTTCCAGAAGTTGAACTTGGATTTCGCATTGAAAACCTAGGGAACACCCAGGGCAAACCGTAGAACAATCCAGGAACACCGCGCCCCTTCCCAGCGAACAGGGTTCCTTCTTCAGCGCCCCGACTGTAGGGGCATGGCCAAACGTGAGCCCCGTCGATCCCCGTGTCCCTCGGGAGCGGCCAAGAGGGGGGTGTCCAAGAGGGGGGTGCGCAAATCATGACCGGCGGCATGTGCGCGGCCCAGCGGGGGGGCCAGGGACGTAATGAAATAAGAAGAGGCGCCATGAAATCTGGGGAGATATCATGGCCCCCGCCATGATATCCACCCCCCCCTAGTCATCACCCCCCTCTTTTCCGCCCCCGAGTCCCCGTGTGCTGCGGCCCCGTCTCCAGCCCCCCGCCGGGGGCCGCAGTGGCCCCCCCCCCCGGGGGCAGGAGGCAGCTCCCGGGAGAGCGGAGCGACTGCAGAACCAAACCCTTTTTCGGAGCTCCGCGTGGACCTCTTGGACTGGCCTGGCATGCGCCGAGCTGATTGTCCCATGTCAGGAGGAAAAGAAACACACAGACACAATTAATCGTCGATCCCCCAGAAAATATTGGAAAACATGGGAAGTGGGGGGGAAGACAGAAACCCAGGAAATATGGGAAAATATGGGGAATATGCTTATTTGTGTGATTTATTTGTATGTCCTGGGGCCCCTTCACAGTGCACGGCCCCGGGAGGTCCCCCCCCTTCCCCATGGCCAATGTTTCGCCTCAGGTCCAGTTCCCATGGCCCCAGGGATCGAGAACGGGCCCCGGGGGCCAACATCGACGACGGGCACCCGAATTCGAATCAGACGACAATTCAAACGACCAACGCCCCAAAATCGACTAGAATATCGACGACAAGAAAATCAGGTCGTCGGCAATCTGGGTCTCCTCCAGTATTGGAGGCCTCACACATTGCGTCCGAGCAGATGGGACCAGAAGATCTCGCCGAATCGCCGATGCAACGGCAATGCACGAGCGACGTCGGCGATGCATCGGCGCCGTTAAAACAACTGGGCTCCACATCGAGTCGCATCGCCGATGCATCGGCGATGCGGCGCGATCCTCCCCATAGTACTCAGCTATCGGGGAGGCGAAAGACTCGAATTTAGAAGGCTGGAGTTGGCCTGACAGGGACGTCAGAAATGACAAGACCCAGTCTGAAAAAATGGCGCGAGCTCCTGCTGCCAACATCCCACGAAACCTGGAACGTTACCATCGGGGACAGTCACGCCAAACAGCGTCGAGCGTGAGTTGATGGGAGGGCGCACTGATCGGGCCCTCGAAGCCCCCGTTTGGACCCTGAAGGGCCACTCTAGGGTCCCTACAAAGACTCCTTTTCTGCAGCCTTCGCTGTCCTCCTCCTTATCGCCCCTCCCCTCCCCCCTACGCGACGCCCAAAAGTGTCTGGAAGCCTGACTTCTGGCGACCTCGAGCCTTGCGCTCCCCCCCTCGGGGATCTACTGACCCGGGTCAGTCCAGACCCGTGTCAACCAGGCTCTGCAAGATGCTGGAGGATCCTGCAGAATGCTGCACCCACGCCTGGGTCGATGCACCCCCGCTTGCCTTGACCCTCGCCTCTTGATTCTCAAGTGCTACTACTACTACGACTACTACTACTACTACTACTACTACTACTACTACTACGACTACGACTACGACTACGACTACGACTACGACTACGACTACGACTACGACTACGACTACGACTACGACTACGACTACGACTGCGACTACGACTGCGACTACGACTACGACTACGACTACGACTACGACTACGACGACGACGACGACAACTACTACTACTCATGCTACTACTACTACTACTACTACTACTACTACTACTACTACTACTACTACTACTACTACTACTACTACTACTACGACTTCTACGACTACTACGACTACAACGACTACTACTACTACTAGATACTACTACTACTACTACTACTACTACTACTACTACTACTACTACTACTACTACTAGTACTACTACTATTACTACTACTACTGCTACTACGTCTACTACTTCTTCTTCTACTACTACTACTACAACTACTACTACTAATACTACTACTACTACTACTACTACAACTACTATTACAACAACTAATACTATTACTACTACTACTGCTACTGCTACTTCCGCTGCTACTACTGCTGCTACTGCTACAGCTA